GCTGTCAGCTTGTGCAAGACCCAGAACAACTTCATCTAGATCTCAGCTATCCTAGTCATCTGTCCTTTGTTTGTTTAAATACTGGACAAAGAGCTCATGGAACAGGAAATGCAAAACTTGTTAGTTTTCTGTTAACCCATTGGGCACAAGCACAAGAATGGCTTTTAGTAGGCAAATAAAGGGAGTAACTTCAGTCATGGTTTTGTTAAGATTCTTATTCAAAGCCAAAGAAAACTCTGTGCAAGTGGCTCAATTCCACTCAGCTGTGGCTGTGACTGCGAACAGAAAACCTGTTTCCTCTCGGCCATTCTGAGGTTCCCATAAGAGAATAGCCCAGTTCTATATGGAAGTTCATGATGCACTTGGATGCCTTCCCCTGGGAGGTGTGTGGCCTTGCTCTGCATTCCAGTCTCCTCCATCAGCTCAGGACTCCAGCCACTGAGGCGTTCAGAGTGGGAGCCTTGAATGAGGTCCTCTCACCACTTCATAGCAAGTCACCATCCAATGTGCAGGCTGAAAGAAACTCTCAACTGACATGAGCTTGATTTAGAGATGGCTAGTTGGTTCAGAAAGCCACCTTGTTTGTGGGACACCCCGCAAACAGCCTCAACATATGTGAGACTGTCAGTGGAAGCAAGTCAGTATGCTGATGTGCGAGGCCAAGTCCTCCAGCAAAGGAGACAGAGGTTAGTTGGCCCTTGAAGGCAGGCACTTCTGGGTCTTCCATTCAGAGGACTTGGCTAGTTCTTACAACATCACTGGCTCACTCGATTTCCTTCCTCAATGCCATAAAGGATAACGGACATATCTTCAGAACCTCGATGGCCTCTTAATGCACAGATGAGTGAAAGGTTTCAAAGCCAGGTTGAGAGTCGGGGAATGGGTAGCTGGTAAGGCACCTTCTCAATGGAAAGTGACTGAGGTTGCTTTCAAGTCGGTGTCCCATCAAATGTGCAGGTCACACAAGACCAGTGTGTTTTCTGTGCTTTTCCATTAGGCCTTTGCATCTGGCCTTATTTTGTGGCCACACTGAAACATGCTTGACTCCATGGTTCCTTCAGAATGTTGAGTCCCATTCATCTCACTGTGCTGCTTGTCCTTGCTACCTTCTGCCACCATCCCAAATTCTTGATCACATGCCCTCTTAAACTGTTGAGAGCCACAGCCAAAGGGGCCCCAGCAAACTTCCAGCTGCCAGCAAACTTCCAGCTGCCGGCTGATGATTGGCTCACAGCGGCCCCAGCAACATCTAGCTGATTGGCTCCTCTGCGGTGATGCTCATTGGGCTGTTTCCCTGCCCTTTCAGACCACGAGCTGCTCATTGGGGGACTTCTTTGGCTCCGCCCACATGACCCAGCCAATCGGCCTCAAGAGCAAGAGGATTGTGGGAGGTGGAGAGGCTTGTGTGGGTGAGAGGCTTATGGGAAGCCGGTGGTGGCAGTTGGGCTCTGAGGGTTTTTTCCTGAGGAGCTGTTTTGTTTGGCGTTTGTAGTTCTAAAAATAAAGTTAGTCTCTTTTGACAAGTGGCTTCTAAATTGTGCCCAGCCAGACTGCGGCATTAAACACTCTTATTCCCTGGATGTCCTAAGTGACAACCTCCCAATCCTTTGCCACAGACCCTTGAAGCCCCCATTCTGTTGTCCATATCCCTTCTTCTGCCTCCATTTCTTGAGACTGTCTTCTCCCCTCACCATAACTGGCTGCCTCCTGCCTACTTCCTGCCCCTCCAGGCCCCCTTCGTTTTCTATCACTTCCTCTCAGGCCCTGAGCTCTCTGGCCAACTCCTTGTAGTATCCCCTTATGGATTCCTTCACTCTGCTCACCCAGCACAGCAGAGCTGTCCACACTCATTGTGGGCCTCAGTTCTGCTTGCTGCTGGCCAAGGTCTAGTCCCATTTCCCACAGCTGAGCCAAATCCCAGCTGGTGTCTCCCAAATCTCAATTCCCAGCCCAGCTGCTCTCCTGATAGCTGGGACCATCATTCTAGTTAGGACAGATAGATCATATTTACCACAGAAACTATAAATTCTGCATGTCAAAGAGTGAATTCGTTATCTTTCCTCTAAATATCTTCTACTTCATATAATTCTTATCATAGTAGTATCCATTAAGACAATTGTGCAGCCAAAAACCTTCAACTTAGTTCATATTCCTCTTTCTCCCTCATCTCAACAGTCAGTGAACACCAGAGCTCAATCTCTTCTCCATCTGAGATGCCCCTCGAGTCAGTCCCCTGTCTCTTTGACAACTCTTCTGCCTAAGTTCTGAGCTTCTGTATCACCCCTTGGCTTAGCCATGGTTTCAGAGATACTCTACCGTTTCCAGTCTTATCTCCTCAAAATTATTCTCTACACTCTGGCAAGGTTTACTGTTTTTGTAAGGGATAAGACTATCTGATTCCCATCTCTGTCTCTATCTTCACTTGTGATTGAATATAATCCAATGCATAGGGATGTTCTCCAACTTAAGATGGTTTGACTTATGGTTTTTTAAAAATCTTACAATGGTACAAAACTAATATACATTCAGTGGAAATTGTACTTTGATTTTGAATTTGGATTTTTTTTCCCTAGCTGGTGATATGAACTCGGAACCTTCCTCTCATGCTAGGCAGAAGTATCGAGTACAGCTCCCAGTCAGCCACATGCTCACAGGGTAAACACGCAATCCCCTGTAGCAGGTTGTGTTGCTAAGCAACGATGCTGCACAGGTTCGATGTAGTAAATGAATTTTTGACCTACAACAAGTTCAATTTATGATGGATTTATTGTGACATAACCCCATTTTAAGTTGAGGAGCATCTGTAGATGCATCATATATCTACCTCAGGCTAACACATAAATATATATATGTAGGTATGACTTAGCTTTTAAGATTATTATAACTTTAATTGTTGGTTTATTCATGTGTTCCTCCCACTGCTTGGTTTTGAGGGAAGAAATCTTATTTCAGCTTTATACCCTCCAAACGCATAGCATTTGCTTCATTTATAATTGTTAAATTAGTGAAGATATTCCCCACAACACCTAATGGGGTCCCAAATGGCATGATATTTTGTGAAAGTATTTCTTTCTTGATTGCTGATTTGAATGCATGACCTCTAAGACACTATCTTAAATTTCATGCTCACCAACTGGTAAGAGAATTGAGGAGTTATATTACATATAATGCATGTAGATACATGTAATGTATATATTCTTTTTTAATATTTAATTTTTAATTTTAGGTGGACACAATATTTTATTTTTATGTGGTGTTGAAGATCGAACCCTGTGTCTGACACATGCTAGGTAAACACTCTACCACTGAGCCACAACCTCAGCCCAATAACACTCTTGTGTGTCATGGGTTATGATGCTCTCCACTGTCAGAATGGAGCCTCCTGAACAGGACCTAAGTGAGAGCTGACATTCCATTCTCAGGCCCATGCATCCCTTCCTGTGGCTGCTCTGCCTGCCCCCTGCCTGTGTGTTTCTGCCTCACAGCCCTCGTCATCTAATTACTGACAAGGAAAAGGAGAGATAGGAAGAGACAAATGGCAAGTTTGTTTTATCTTGTTCCAAACTTGTCCTGTGAACGCACTCCACCCTTATTTAAGAACTTCAGAGCAGAACGTGTGTTATGAGAGAGGAAGGCACGTTCCAACATCTGGAAGCTCTATGTGGGTTATACTGATGCTCTGTTACAAAACTATGGGGACTTGGGATTCTAAAGCCAGCCGTAAAGAATGACTTTATGACATTCGCTGGTAAATGGATGGATCTGGAGACTATCATGCCTAGTGAAATAAGCCAGTCTCCCAAAACCAAAGGTCAAATATTTTCTCTGATATGTGGAAGCTAAACCACAACAAGGGATGGGGGGAAGATTAGAAGTTTCGTGGAGTAGACAAAGGGGAATGAGGGCAAGGGAAGGGAGATGTGAAAAGGAAAGGCAGTGGAATGAATCTGACAACCTTCTTATGTACATATATGAGTCACCACAGCAATCTCACCATGGTGTACGCCCATATGAAATTAATTAAAAAAATAACTATGGGTAAATGGCAGAAAGATCAATAGAGGGAAGGGAGCAGGGGGTGAGGAGAGGGAAGGAGAAGGAGAAGTGCTGGGGTCTGAATTAGAACAATATATATTCCATGCTTGTATAATTATGCCAAAATGGATTCTACTGTCATGTATAACTAAAAAGAACCAATTAAAAAAATAAAGCCAGATAATACCCTAATAACTCCCTTCAATAGCAGCATAAATAAGATGTCAAAGAGTCCACATTAGCTGTCTCCAGTCCACATTAGCTGTCTTTCACTTCCCTCTTGATAAAATCATCTTGGCATGAGATCATGGATAATTCAGACAGGCATGGTGGTGAGATAGCAGGAAAGTGCATGCATCCCAGATGTCCCATGCAGCTTTCTGGATTCTTCTAATATCTGCATCTGAGGTCTCTTTTTTCACAAAGCTGTACAGGATTGATACTTATCTTCTTACATGTGTCAGTCATTGGTAATGAAATGAGTCAAGAGAAAGCAACCAAAGAGATACTTGATTTTCAATTCAGAAGTCTGCTCAGAGATCATTTGACCCAGCAAATTTATTTTACAGTAAGATGCGGAAGTCAATGCTAAAACCACTGGTCAAAGAATTTTAAACCCATGAAACCTTCAAGATGTCTCCACTGGGGATATCTTATGATTTTAGTAAAATTTTCAACCTGTATGACCAGTATCTTCTTATTTAGTGTATTCTCAGAAGGCAATTATTCTATCTTGCATCAATTTGAAGTTGCTATGTTATCAGTGTCTCAGTGATGTATCATGGCATCTGGGTAAAGACTACAGACTCTTGCATCTAAGGCTCTGCTATCTACCTACTCTCATCACCCCTCATAATATCTGGCCCTTGTCTCTGAATGCAGTGACCTCAGAGAAATGCTGCTGACTTTTGACTAAGAAAGATAAGAATTCTCAAACACAATAAAGTGAAAATTATAGACCTTACCATTCCAGGTGGTTTTCTACAAACGCAGACATGGGGCTGATCTGCACCGTGTAAGTATCATTTGCAGAGTACTCAAAGAGTCCGTAGTAAGGGTTGAAGAGCTCCTGAGACAAAAGGAAGAAGAACTCTCGAGAAGGACCACTGTAGTCCAGGCTGCAAAGGAAGAACAGGTCCAGGAAGCTCATTTTGTGTCTGAAAGGGGAAGGACAGTCTCTTATCCAGATTCTAGTAGGTTCTTTTGGAACAGGGCTGGGGAAAGCAGAGACCAATCTCTGTTCTTTATAGTGGATCTTAGTGGAATTAATTTATGGTACTTAATGAGGTTGCAGTAATTGGTGTAGGGGTGCTTCTGAGCCAGATGTTCATGAGTTAACTCTATTTTTGGGGGGTTTTTTTGGGGGGTATTGGGGATTGAACTTAGAGGCACTTGACCACTGACCCACATCCTATTTTATATTTTATTTAGGGACAGGGTCTCACTGAGTTGCTTAGTGCCTTGCTTTTTGAACTTGTTATCCTCCTGCCTCAGCCTCCCAAGCTGCTGAGATTACAGGTGTGCAGTACCACGTCCAACTTCATGAATTAACTCTTATGGCAATGGTCCTTATCAGTGTTTCCAATCATTTAATACCTAAGGGATAAAACAGACAGCTGCCCCATTATAAAAAAGGGAGATCTGAAAGAATTTCATGTCAGAGTATGTGTGTGTGTGTGTGTGTGTGTGTGTGTGTGTGTGTACAGAGATGAATGAGAAAAACTTCCAAGTGCATTCTGATGTGTGATGTGCCCTCTGAGAAGGGGCTTACCCTCCACACTTAAGTGAATTCCACAAAAATACATGAAAAGACTGGTATGTCGTTGCATTTCTGCACTCCAAAAGGAAGAGTTTTTTGCTTAGATACTCAGAAAAGTACACCACCTGCAAAGTAAAGACCCAGTGGCTAAGGAATGTATTTGTGGATTATACTTCAACGACATAAGCTCAGACTCTAGGACACGTCAATAATCTTAGTTTTTGAGGAATATGAAACCTAAAGTTTGGCAACATCAAAGACCTCCTGGCAGTGCCTGATCTGAATGGCCTCAGAGCATAGGCTTAGAGCATCTTGCTTTTTCTTGAGAAAAAGCCCCGTGAGCCTGAGGCTCTGGTCTGCCCATATCAAAGAATCTGCATGAAACTCCTGGTTCCTCACCCCTCCTCTCCAACAAAGGTGACGTAGAGCTTGTTTCTCTGGAGCTCCTTCCGGGAATAGGCCATCACTTGATTGAAGGTCCCCTCCAACAAGTGGTCCCGACGAATAATGAGCCTGAGAAGAAGAGGTGGTTGTGAGGGGTGGCTCTGGAGCTGGGGTGCGGGACAATGTTTCCTGTGAGTTGTTAAGATCAGATTTATGGTCTCACCCGGCTGCCTCTCTAGTGAGAGGGGAAAGGGCAAGATCAGTTCACTTCTCAAAACAGGTAGACAAGGAAAACGTGGACACTTATTATTGGGTACCTGCCATCGTACTGAACTACTTTAAGATTCTTTCTAGAACTGGGGATGTGACTTAGTGATAGGGCACTTGTCTAGCATGTGTGAAGTCCTGGGCTCAATCCCCAGTCCAGGGGAAAAAATGAGTTTTTTATTTTTAACAATAATTCAAAAGGATGCCTCTTAAATTAAGAGATCTCTTAAGTTGGGTTCGTAAGTTTGGGCTCAGCTTTTCAAGGTAAAAAATAGTAAACCCAAAAGGTAGAAAAAAAATCACCATTTTACTTGGACTTCAATTGCAAAGTTATGAAGAGTCCACAAATTTGACCAATGAGTTAAATTTTGCCCGAGGAATAAGTAAGAGGAAAATAACATTTTTTAAAATTAGGTCAAGATTCTTTGTTTTGTGATTATTGACATCACATATGCCTTTGTCTGAAATCTACTGTTCTTTTTCTCTCTCCTTCGCTTTTCCTTCTCCTTCTCTCTCTTCTCTTCCCTTTCTACCTCCCCTCCAATTTCTTAAATTCCTTTCTTCTTTCCTTCCAACTTCCTAACTTCCTTCCTCCATTCACACCATACTTGCTACGGCACCAAGGTATCCAATCTCAAAAAAAAAAAAATGCAAAGATATAAAAGATAAAGGGTTAGAAACCTGTCATTGAAATTCAGTGCCAAGCACTGAAGCACTCACTTAATTTTCCCTGGACCCTGACCAAATCCTTTGGCTTCTAGTTTCCGATAGAAATTGCGGAGCTTGGCCTCAAAGTCTCTCCGATATGGTGAAGGGGCTCTTGCACTGGCTCTCTGTAAACCTGCAGAGGGAAGCACACAGCCTGTGGGTGAGACTCTTCATCTAAGAGCAAGTCTGCAGAGTGATGGTGGAGAGGGACTCAGCAGAGTCCCGTGTCCTCACGGCCTTCTTCTCTAAGGAGTTCCCTTCATTTCCTACAGTCCTTCAGTTATACTTTTATGGTAAACAAAAGAGGAAAATGACTGCTGTGGAATATATCCTATGTCTATTCAATTATTTCAAGTGGTAATTTTCTCTAAAAGTACCCTGGTGGGCATTATCTTGGCTTCATGGTACGTGGATCATCTGGAACAATTAACATAAATTGAACTAGAATAAAATTTTCCTGTAAATTGCAATATTGCAAGAAGTGATTGAAACTAGAATGAGGGACAGGACTTTAACATGTGTGTTTGTCATGCTTCTACATTGATATTGATGCTAGGAAAAAACCTCTACCCTAGGGCCCAGAGCATTTAGGAATTTATATTAGTTACCTTGCATCAAAGAGCAAATTTTATAACAACATCAAGGATAATTCACTGATTCTACATAGATGAGTTTTTTTTTATCATTAGAGAGCTTTGAAAATGCCTTACTATCATTATACACCTTTTAACAAAAAGGGAAATGGAAAAAGTAACATTCTTATCCCAAGTTTTACAGATGGACCAAATCATGGTTCACCCATTTAATAAGTATTAGTTACTTGTTATATTTAGGGTACTAAATTTATAATCTAGAGAAAACTTATATGACTAAACTCACAGAAATGAGTATGTAATTACAGTTTGAGATGAGAGCTATCCATGAAGGAAAGGAACACAGTTCTTTGAGAATACAGAGCATACCTGCCAAGCCCAGGAAACGTTCCCTGGAGAAGAACTTAAGATTGGCCTAGACACCCTTCAACAGATGAATGGATAAAGAAAATGTGGTGTATATACATGATGGAATATGACTCAGCTATAAAGAAGAATGAAATTAAGGCATTTGCAGGTAAACGGATGGAGATGGAGAATATCATGCTAAGTGAAATAAGCCAATCCCCCCCAAGCCAAAGGCCAAATTTCTCTGATATGTAGATTCTGATCCATAATGTGTGTGTGTGTGGGGGGGATGGCTATAGAAGAATGGAGGAACTTTGGATTGGAGGGGAGTGAGGAGAGGGGAGGGGGTCTGGGAATGGGAAGCATGATGGAATGAGACAGATGCTACTACCTCATGTGCATGTTTGATTGCACGAATGGTGTGACTTTGCATCATGTACAGCCAGAGAAATGGGAAGTTGTACTCTATTTGTGTACAATGAGTTGAAATGCATTCTGCTGTCATGTATAACTAATTAGAATAAAGAAAAAAGAAAAAGTAGGCCTGAATTAGATTGAATGTGTCAGGAAAGTTTCTCTTTGACTAAGAAAAGAAATAATCTGGGAGAAGAACAGTGCAGGAAGAAGATTAGCAGATGCAAAGGTCCTGAAGCAGAATGGAAAGTGGTGCTTTGGTTTGTCGCACAGGATTTGAAGGCCAAACTGATGCATAAACAAGGCTTGAGAAGTGGGCAGGAACCACATCATATTAGGTAAGGTACATTTGTTAAGCAGTTTTGTTTTATGCTAACTGTAACAGAAAGCCATTACATGGGGCTGGTATGATGTGACTTGAGTTATGAAAACATCAATCTTCCTGCTATAGAGAGAAAAATGTAGGGAGGACCAGGGTATATTTCCACATTGAACTGGGCTAGTGTCAGTGCAGCATAAATGTTGAGGAGTGGACTGATTGGAGATGTCTTTATGGGACAAAGAATTAGATGTAAGTAGTGAGGGAAAGGTGGACCTCAGATTTCTAACTGAATGAACTTTGGTGACATTCACTAAGATGGGGAGTTGTGGAGAAAGAATGAATTTATGGGGGAAGATCATGAATTTGGTCTTTGGAGCTACCTGAGGAGGCAACTTAGGGGAAGAGTGAGTGGTGGTTAATAATAGTAATAGCTGCTGAAAGATCAGGGAGGAGGCAGAGACTTACACATTGGGTTGAGTGACCAGAGGTCCTGGTGACCTCAGAAATGTACATGACCTCCTCTCATGTATGGGCGTGAAGAAGAATAAGATGTGTGCAGGATTAGTAGGCTTGTAGGTTTGGTAACAGTCACTGGAGGAAAGTTCTGTTGGAGGACTTTTTTCCCCCAGTGGAGTAAACTAGAAGGAGATAAGAAGGGGTATTGAGGGTTGGAGGTTTGAGGGGAGTAGAAGTGTCTGAAATAGTAGTAGAGGGGCTCAAAGAAGTAAGCTAGGGTTTTCTTTTGGGTGTTGAAGGTCCATGTGAGTTGAGAGGTGATTAACTATTTGCCCAGGCAGGTGAACTGTTCAAGAGCACCTAACTGCAGATGTGCATAAGGGAGACAGGAAGGCTAATCTAGAGGTGGAGCTCTGCCAGCAGATGCAGATAAGATGAAGAGGACCAGTGGAGTTCAGGGCATTGGCAAGGATGTTCCTGAAACAATGAACCACAAAATCTATGCTGGATAGAAAGGAGAGAATCCCATGCACTGGTGATCGTGGCGAAGCCAAAGAATGGTAATAGGCAAGAAGCAGAATAGGCATGTTGGAGGGAAGAGGGTGCTTAGATTGGCAATTTATGAGATAACAAGGTCAGAAACATGACTGTGGGAACAAATGACTGAGGTGGAGCAGGAACAGGTTGCTGTAGTCAAGGAAGTCCAGACCCCAAAACACCTGGAGTGTGAGGGAATCCACAGTTGCCAATATTAAAACTGAAGGAGTAGCCTTGGTGAAGGACTAGGCTTTAGGATAGAGGGAACTAGATCACAAGTCTACAAGTGCAAGTATAATTTCTGTCCAGCAGATTAGAGTACATTTTATAGCATGACTTTAACTACTGTTGGTACTACCACTATCCCTGTGATCACTCCTCGTTTTTCTAAAGATTTATGCTTCACCAGATACTTTGATATAAACTTCTAGAGTTCTCTATCTCTGCGGCACTCAGGCAAATTTCAAAAAGGGCTATGATAATGGAAATTGCCAAATTTAACACAAAAATATCTGGGTTGCGTAACCTAGGACCACATGGTCAAGGCTGGAGAATTAAAAAAATTAAGTACTTTGACAAAAAGAATTGAATGATTACCTAAATTCACGGCATCAGTAATGTCTTTATTGGCAAAGTTGATACCTTTAAAAAAACTTAGCAAAATAATTTTCATTTAGCCAACAATGCTTTATTCTCTCTCTCTTTTCTTTTTGCAATATGATAGCTCTCTCCTATAATAATGTTTAAATCCTGCTGTGTGGCCAAAGGTTTTTTTTTTTTTTTTTTTTTTTTTTTTTTTTTTTAGACCAAAGTGTAGATATGTCAGCAGATGTTTCTACAACAACAGGTCATCGTGCAGACCAATGGCTCCCCCAAATGGAAGACTGCTCCTCCCAAATAGGTGCACACTGGAAATGTTCGATTGTCCTGATGTTGGCTCTAACAAAGCTCCTGGTTCTCCTTTCTCCCAGGCAACAGGATTTCAGTTATGTTATATGTCAGAGGGAGCAAGCCCTGGTCATTTCATAAGCAGTGTCCATGGTACACTTGTTGGGTGGCTGTGACAACAAGGAGACACTGTCTTCAAAATGGATTTTATCAGTTGGCAAAACTACTTTAAGAGATATTCTGAATGGCACAACTTGGATGAGTAATACTAAAAGACATTCCAGCTTTGGAGACTTAAGGAGTAATGTTGAGTGAGACATTCCTTTCAAGACATAGAACCCATTGCTAAATTTTCTCTTTGGCATTTTCCCACTGGCTTCAAAAATCAAATTTGGATCCTGACTCCTGAGGTTGTGAGATAGAAAGTTCCTATGGTTTTAAAGCTGCTCTCTCTGCCAGTGCATCTAGCCCGCTGCTGCCCTTGCCTAAGGGGAAGGAAGATTCCAGGCCCTGATCCTGGAGGAACCAGATTCTTCAGCAGTCAACAGAAGGGTCCCCCTGCCCCATTCACAAAGCAGCCTGCTTTTGCAAAGTGATACCATCGAAAGGACTATATTTTCATTGAATTTTGTGTTGAAGAGAGTAAAGATGTTAATGTAAATTTTGAAAAATCCAAATTTACTTTCAGCTGTCTTGGAGGAAGTGATAATTTTAAACATTTAAATGAAATTGATCCAAATGATTCTAAGCATAAAAGAAGGAACAGATCAATTTTATGCTGTTGACTAAAAGGAGAGCCTAGCCCATCATGGCCTAGGTTAGCAAAAGACAGGGCAAAGCTTCATCAATGGCTGAGTGTGGACTTCAATAATTGGAAAGACTCGGAAGATGATTCAGATAAGACTTGTGTGATTTTGGTCATTTCTCTGAGAAACAGACGTGGGTGAACCTTGTGGGTGGTGATGAGGATGTAGATTTACCAGAAGTAGATGGAGCAGATGATGATTCACAAGACAGTGATGATGAAAAAATGCCAGATCTGGAGTGAGGAATATCGTCATCGCCTGGATTTTGAGAAAGAAAATTACTTCTCCATAAGATTTCATGACTGAGAAAATTCCTGAGTTGATAGCTCTCAAGACAGTTATTTGCTGCCTTTCACCCATTTTTTTCTACCTGTTTTTTAAATTTCCTTTTTTAAAAGGCTTCACTAAGACTTGACAATAGACCATTATACGGGGCAAATTAAGTCAGCTAAGGTGCTATCCTTATGCACGGACATTTCCCAGACTTCCATGAAGCTGTTGAGATCCTAGGCAATTGACACAGCAGTTGTGATAAGTAAAAACATTTCACCTAAGTCTCCTTTACTTCGTAACATAATTACCGACATGATAGGAAGCTCTCCACTTAGGGAAAGTCTAATTAAATTTTAAGTTTTAAAATATGAATTCAGAGTGGTTGAAACAAATTGGCTGACATCTTTAACGGATAACCTACCTCTCTTCTGATGTACCCTATAGGATTGTTCCAAAAAAATTTACTGCCTATTATTGTATGTGATTATTTGTCAGTGTTCCACATGCATCTTAGCTAAAACTAGTGAAATTCCCTTAACTTAGATGGTTTTTGAAGCCTATACATTTGGTATTGTTTGGCCCTTAAGCTTTTACAACTCTTAGCCTGGAGGATGAAGAAAGCTGTACACTGTTGCTTGAGAATCTGTACATTTAGACCAGATTTGTATTTGGACAGTCAATATGACAAATGAGTGAAAAAAAAATGTTGATACACTATTGGATTTTTTTAAATTTCTTTTTTTGATTCAGCTGAAAAACCTCAACTTTATTTCATGACAGTAGAGATTTTTTTAAAAAATGTCTACATTCTTTCTAGTAAACTGTTGGAAGATTTAAAAAAATAAAGTTATAAAGGAAATTCGGGGTTACTAAAGAAAGCTATCACAATGTGATAATGCAAATCAAATTCAAAGGGGGTGTTATGATTTGGATATGAGGTGTCCCCAAAAAACTCCCCTGTTAATGTAGAAATGTTCAGATGTACAGTGATTGAATTGTGAGAGCTGTAACCTAGTCAGCTCATTCTAGTTTGAGTGGCTGGATGGTAACTAGAGGCAGGTGAGGTATGGCAGTGGAGGTGGGTCACTGGGTTGTGCCCTGGAAGGGTCCATCTCCCTTATGGCCCTTCCCCTGTCCTGCCTCCCTGCTTCCTTACTGCCAGGAGCTGTGGCCTCCCCCCATGATGTGCTGCCTCACCTTGGACGGAGCTGTCTATGAACTGAAACCTTTGATACTATGAGCCCTAAATAAACTTTTCCATCTCTAAGTTGTTTTTCTCAGGTATTTGGTTCACAGCGATGTTAAAAGCTGACTAAAATGGGGAAATCTCTAATACTGATCTGATTTGGAGGTATGGATTTCACCTCTGCCAGTCGTCTTGATGGTTCCAGGAAATGTCTTTTTTTTTTTTCCCCACTAAACATATATTCCCCCTTTTGGAATAGAAAAATACCCACAAATTATTTTTATATAATTCTCATACACAAAGGAAACAAAGGAGGAACAATTATACATGGTGTAAGAAAATCCTTTGGAATCTTTGTGGAGACATAACAATGGTCTCCAGGAAATAGGTTACCATAATTGGTATCAAATAGAATTCTAAATCATAAGGGGACTGTTTCAGAAAGGGCCTTCCCTTTGAAATTCTTGGAGAGTGCCTTGGGAATGCAATAGCAATTCAGAGCAGGAAAACAAACTTGTTCTGTAAGTGGCCATATAGTAAATATTTTAAGCTTTGCAAACCACAGGACTTCTGTTGCTGTTACTCATGTCTGCTGCCGTAGTGTGAAAGCTGTCATAGAAAATACATAAATTACAGGCATGGCCAGGTTCCAATAAAACTTTATTTATGGGCACTGAAATTTGAATTTCTTATTGTACTCATATATCCTGAGTGTTTAAATTTTTTTTCAAGCATTTAAAAATATAAACCCCATTCTTGGTTGGGGGCATTATAAAAACAGGCAGCAGTTTTCAATACTTAATTTAGAGAATGCTTTTTTTTTTTTGGTGGTACCAGGGATTGAACCCAGGGGCATTTAACCATTGAGTCACATCCCCAGCCCTTTTTAATATTTTATTTAGAGACAGAGTCTCACTAAGTTGCTGAGACTGGCTTTGAACTCTAGATCCTCCTGCCTCAGGCTCCCAAGCTGCTGGTATTATACACCTGACCTAGAGAGTGTATTTTTTGATCAGGAAATTAAGAAGGACTGAAAGAGGAAAGACTTGAATACAGTTGCCCATCAATTCTTTTCAGCTTGTGGAAACACACAGGACTACTCATAGGTCATTCCCAAGTTACCTGGAGAGTTCTGAGGTGAAGAACAGGGTGAACAGCGGGGAGAAAAGCTATACCCGGGGTGGAAGGCAGCCTGCAGGGGTACATAGGACATAATCTCTTCTTCAAAGAGGCTGCAGAGTTAAAAAAAAAAAAGTTAGTTCTCTGTTCCCTGAGAAAGTGAATTGGCTAATAACAGTTAAATTTCTTAACAAGCAACAAAAGCAATTAGATTTATATATAACATAAAAGATAGGCACGCCTTGCTGGCAAATTCTCAGCGTTTCTTTTTTAAAGCCCTAACTAATCCCATAATAAAGTCTCCATCAAGAACTCTTTGTAGTTCTTGGTGCCCCATCACAAGATGGACAGCAATCACCAGTGTGAGAACACTACTTCAGTCCCAGGTACTAGACTCTTCTAGAATAAAGAACAGGTATTTCATTCTGGCCCTTTTCTGCTGTGGTGTGGAACTGCTCCATGCAGCTTTTCTAGAATTTTTTCAGGTACAGATCCTTACCTCAGCAAAATAACTAGATCTGCATCACAGGACAACTTCTCAAGCCCATGATTACCCTCGGTCCGAATATAATGGATTTTCTCCCTAGATTAATGAGGAAAATAAAATGAGAATTATAAACCAATACTTAAGCTAAGGTATAAATCTTTTTTTGTATCTTGCAATGTGACTGAGTAGCCAGGGCCTAATGTCCAGTGCATTTTGTGGTACTCAGAACTCATCTTGCAGGCTCACAGAATGCTCTATAAGGGGTGGCTTTTTCTCAGACTCACACTGGTACAGAATCTGAGGAATACAGCAAAGTCAGGACCCCAGAGAGCGAAGATGAATGTGGAGCTGGGTCAGGAAGTGTTGCTAAAGTACTGCTCTGGGCTTATGGTAAATTTGAAGCCATGGGAAGATAAGGAATGGAGAGTTGCTTGGGAAATCTTGTGGTTGATGATAAAGTTATAATGCTACACTGGGCACAGAGGATCCAGACGAGAGTCTCCCTGGTCAGTCAATACCCAGTGATCCATTCCTCTATCTATACCCTAAGGACTTAAAATCAGCCTACTACAGTGATGCAGCCACATCAATGTTTTTAGCACCTCAATTCACAATAGCTAAACAGTGGAACCAGCCTAGATGCCCTACAATAGATGAATGGATAAAGAAACTTTGGTATGTATATACAATGGAATATTAGTCAGCCTTAAAGAAGAGTGAAATTATGGCATTTACAGGTAAATGGATAGAATAGTAGAATATTATGTCAAGTGAAGTAAGCCAATCCCAAAAAACCAAAGACGAAATTTTTTCTCTGATAAGTGGATATTGATCCATAATGGGGGGGGCAAAGGAAGAATGGAGGAACTTTGGATTGGACAGAGGGAAGTGAGGGGTGGGGAGGGGTATGGAGGCGGGAAAGATGGTGGAATGAGAAGGACATTATTACCCTATGTATGTGTATGATTGCACAAATGGTGTGACTCTGCATTGTGTACAGTGGAAAGTTGTGCTCCATTTGTGTACAATGAATCTAAATACATTCTGCTGTCATGTACAACTAATTAGAATAAATTAAAAAAATACCCAGGGATCAATTAATCTGTTTAGTTACAGCTCACCTATTGTAACCTTTTTTTCACAATCTCCAACTTCAACCTTGCAGATTATTTCAAATAAGTGTATGGATAAGTAACACTTATTTTGATCGAATTAACCTTGTAATTTTCTTCGCTGATATTATTCAGATCCAGGCCTAAGAATCATTCATTTGTGTGTGTGTGTGTGTGTGTGTGTGTGTATACTTCAAAAGAGTGGATTATTTTGCCTTTCTTAAAGAGGATACAGCAGAAATCTGGGAAAATTTAAGGACTGATTTTTTTTTTTAGAAAAATTATTTAAGCTTTTTTTTTCCTTTGTGTTTCAATTTTTATTTTGAGATAAATTGAAGTTCATGTGCAATTGGAAGAAATAACACAAAGGCATCTTATAAACCCTTCACTCAGTTTTTCCCAGTGGCAACCCAGGAATGGATGGGTTTTTTAAAAAAATCTATTTTCAAACAGCTGGAGATAGAACTTTTCCCTCTGTCAGATTGAGAATCTGAGAATTGAGAATTCATTGAGAATCCAAATCTTTACCATAACTTTTATATTTTCAGATGGAAATATAATCGACTTGACACTTGGTGTGGGGATTTTTTAAAAAGGGAAGGGAAGGGGAGGGCTAGGGATGTGGCTCAAGCGATAGCACGCTCGCCTGGCATGCGAGGGGCGCTGGGTTCCATCCTCAGCACCACATAAAAATAAAACAAAGATGTTGTGTCCACCGAAAACTGAAAAATAAATATTAAAAAATTCTCTCTCTCTCTCTCTCTCTCTCTCTCTCTCTCTCTGGAAATAAAAAAGGGAAGGGGAACTTGTTGGCCTCTTATAAAGACATACTGTGCTCAATCTGTTATCAGTTCCTTGTATCATTGCTTCCACAATATCACCCACACTGCTCCTTCCTCTCCATCTATGTTTACCACGGTCCATGTGACCATCATGTCTTACGTATGTTGTCTCCCACATAGCTTCCTGCTCCAGTCTAGCTATTCTCCGTAGAGAAGCCCAACTAGTCATTAAAAATACAATCATATTTCTTTCCCGCTGAAAACTCCTTAATTGCTTCTCCAGTAAAATTGCACTTCCAATAAAAATCCCACCTCCTTCCAGTTATTGCCAAGATCTCCCTGTCCAAAGTCACCATGGTCTTTCCACCCCACCCCATCTACCCCTGTGCCCAAAAGCCTTTCTTTCATTCCTCACTGACACCAAGCTTTTCCTGCCATGGGGACTTTGTACACTCTCCCTGTGTTCCAACCTTGCATCTCAGGAACAACTCTTTCTCATCCTTCAGGTTTCAGCTTAAGTACCACCTACTTGGCAAAAGTCCTCCCTGTTTAGGATGTAAGTCCTCTTCCTCTGCAACCGCACTTTATCCCTCTCACTGAATTCTGATCATGACATTCACGGCACTTAACACATTATTTAAATATTTGGCTTAAAAATAAAAAACCTCCAACAACCCAAATCTTATCCATCATCTGCCTCTCTGAGTAGACTGTAGATTCTATGAGAATATGTCTGGTTTGCTTGTTACTGCTTAGATAAGCCCTAGCACAATCCCAATTCAGGACAATTGTATAATAAAAGCACTAGTGGCAGGAAGGAATGAATAAATCAGGACTGCTAGGCACTCCTTATACATAAGAGACGTCATTAACTCTGGGTTTTTTGGCTCCATTTCCCCCTCCATGTGTAGCTTTTTAAATTCACTTATGTCTGCTGAGCAGTTTTCTGAGAACACATTCTTTACCCCCTAACCCAGCAACGGCTTTTGTGGACCAAAGACATAGATTCTTGGCTCCCCCAGAAATGGCAAAACAGGGGTCATGATCCCCATTTGAGGACCAGAGAAAGTTTCTTTGGGTTTCTGGTGAGAGGAGGTTTTCTTTTCAATTCTTGCACATTTATGGATCTCACATTGCTTTCAGAGGGAGGAAGGATTCCCCTTGGAATCCCTTGAGGATTCCCTAAAATTGTTATGAGTCAAGCAGCTGTGACTAGCTTCCTTGGTCTCATGAGCTAGACTTCCCCAAGAGCAAGCTTTTGTGAACTTTTGAATGCCACGGCCTCTAGGTCTCTCCTAGTCACTGTGGGCCTGCTGTTTCTGATGAGATATTGGGTTTCTCAAACTGGGGTCCACAGTTTCCTTAAGGTCCATTAATTGCTTGAAATTATCTGCACAAGATTTTCATTTACATGTGGGGGAGAATCGAAAATGGCTTTCATCAGATTCTCAAAGGATTCTATAACCTTAAAACGGCTATTAGTTTCCATACTAGGTGATTTCCAAAGTTCTTCCAATTCCAACATGCCCTGATTTTAGGTGCACTCAGCTGTGAAAAATTATAATTGTGTAATTCCATACCACTTCAAAACCTTTAAGCATTCTTGAAGTTTGTTAAAATGTGATATTACACAGGAAGGTTAAAAACAGTTCACTTTTCTCTGGAAATGTATTCTACTCTTTTACATAGGGGATTAATATTTTTTTTAAAACTTTCCTAGAGATCAAAATGATACTCTAGTGCCTTTGGTCAATTTAAATTCCTCTAAAAAGTACCCAGTAAACTCATGATTTAGTGGTAGAACGAGTAAAAACAACAACAAAATGTTCAAGTGCAATCATGTATCAGAATCACTTTAGGTAGTACA